TAATTGTCCCCCCAGGTCATTACAGAGGAACCCATAAAGGTTTTAGGAAAAAAATGTTTGAAAATCATATCACCAAAAAAATCATAGACTAATACACACGAAAAATTTAAAAAAAATGTTTAATTCTTGTTGAGTGGCCCCTAAATGTTAAAAAAATGGTGTGCATCATGGTGAAGCTATACGTATTGTTACCTCAGGTCAATATGGAGGGTCCCGTAAAGGTTTTAAAAAAATCGTCCAAAGTCATATCACCAAAATAGTCATGGACGTTAACAGAGAAAATCGCCTAATTCCTGTTGAGTGGCCCCTACATGCTAATAAAGCGGCGTGGATCATGGTAAAACTATACGTATTGTCCCCCTTAGATCATTATAAAGTGTCTTGTAAAGATTTTGAAAAAAAAGTGTCAAAAAATCATATCACCAAATAATTTGTATACTAACACTCATGAAAAGCTGATAAAATCTCCCCCTTTTTTTTTTTTTTTTTTTTTCTGTTTCTTGAACCTTAAATGCTAGAAAAAAAAGGGCATGGATCATATAGAAGATATAGTTATAGTTCACCAAGTCATTACAGATGATCCTAAAAAAAATCTGGATACTATATTCATAAAAGTTTATGAACATACACGAAAAACTATCGTTTTCTTATCTTTTCTTTTACATATTTTTTTTTCATTCTAAATCATTTTTGTATTTATTCATAAAAATGATTGACCTTATGTTTATCCATACCTTAAAAAAATAATATCAAATCTATCTACTCAGCTCAAAACGTTGTCGTTTTAGCTTCATTTTCTACTTCTGAAGTATCTCTATAAAGAATCACAAAGAACTAAAAATCTTCACTTTCTCAGTTCAATTCACTCTTCAAATCCAATCAAAGCAATGATTCTACAAACTACAATCAATTCTTTCACATTTTCATCTCAACCCATTTCAAGAAACAGTTTTTTCTTTAAAAATCTGACCTTTTTCACCTCTCCTTTGCTACCCAAATCTTTTTTACCCAGTCTTGATTACAAGTTCTATTTGGGTAACAAAAGGAGCTCATTGAGTGTTTCTAGTGCCAAAACTGGGTCAAAAACCATTCATGCTACTTTGCTTGAAGCTCCTGTCTTGTGGGTTGGGAGAGTTTGTGTATTTTATGCTCTATTGAAAGCTGGTTTAGCTGGATCTCCTTCTAATCCTCTTGTTTCAGGTATTCTTGTTTTGTTTTACATCAAGAATGGGATATGGGGTTGTTTTTTTATGTGGGGAAGTATGGTATTTGAGTCTTTAGTTTTGATTTATAATGTGTAAATGAGAAATGGGGTTGATTTAGTTATTTGGGAAATGTGGTGTTTGAGTCTTTTAGCTTGAATAGTAATGTGTATATGAGATTGGGGTTGTTTTTATATGTGGAAAGTTTGAGTCTTTAGCTTGATTTGTTATGTGTTAATGATAAGGGATTGTTTTTGTTTGTATGGGAGCTGTGGTTTTTGAGTCTTTTAGCTTGATTTGTTTGTGTTTTGGTTGTAGATTTATCAAGAATGAGGAGATGGGGTCTGTTTTTTTATAGTGGGAAAGTATGCATTTGAGTCTTTAGCTTGATTTGTAATGTCTTAATGAGAATGAGGTTGTTTTTGTTATTTGGAAACTGTGGTTTTTGAGTCTTTTAGCTTGATTTGTTGTGTGTGTTGGTTGTAGATTTATCAAGAATGGGAAATAGGGTTGTTTTCATATGTGGGGAAGTATGGTATTCGAGTCTTTAGCTCGATTTGTGATGTGTTAATGAGAATGATGCTGTTTTGTTTATTTAGGAACTGTGGTTTTTGAGTCTTTTAGCTTGATTTGTTATGTGTGTTGGTTGTAGATATATCAAGAATGGGAAAAGGGGTTGTTTTCTTATGTAGGGAAGTATGGTATTTGAGTGTTTAGCTAGATTTGAATGTGTTAATGAGAAACGGGGTTGTTTTGTTTATTTGGGAACTGTAGTGTTTTGAAGCTTTGATTTGTTGTGTTTTGGTTGTAGATTTGGAGACTGATGGGAATGCTGAGTTGGGTTTTGCCAAATGGTTTGAAGAGTTGCAAAGCAAACCAGGTTTGTGGAGTGTTCTTTGGTACATCTACATTTGTTTGTGCTTTAGGAATGAAGGATTATATTGAATGAGATAATGTATTGATATGCTGATGAACAACTTTTGACTAGAAAATAATAATGGCTTTGTAGAAAGTTCGAGTAGTTCTTTTTTTCTTGTTTTTGATTTTTGCAGCAAGTTATTGGAGTATTACTTACATGACGAACTGTTTAATCAATGTTCCAAAGTTACAGACTAGGAAAACAAAGGTATTAGTAGGACATGAACCATATATCTATCAACTGTGGGGTTTTTAGGTCTCAAGCCTCAACTTTAAAATTTTAAGAGCAGCGGCAAATTTAGAATTTTCATTAAGGGAATTCAAAATATAAAGAAGTAAACCCGTGAAGAAGCCAAGGAGATTCAACATCTAATATATACACATAACTAATAATTTTGACCTTCTATATACAATGTGGATTATAGTTTTGCGCCCCTCTAGCTCTGCCCCTGCCTAAGAGCTTGGTTGCTATTGAATGTATCTCCCTCCTTGGCTCCTCTCTCCTCTCACTCCTGTAGAGTAGGTTGGATCAGAGTTACACTAGTTGAGGTTTCAGTGAGCCCTTGTTTCTCCCTCCTGAATTTGAGAAGCTGAGGCCCAATTTCCCGGTGTCATGGATTACCTTTCTATCTTCCCTCCCCGTAAGCAACATAATTTCCTCTCCATATATTTTAGTATGTATTTTCCAAGGGTGATACAACAACATACCCAGTGTAATCCCACAAATGGGGTATGAGGAGGGTAGTGTGCATGCAAACTTTACCCCTACCTTGAAAGGTAGAGATTCTGCGAGGGTGTTAAGGATGCAAAATATGTGCCAATCTGTTGTTTGTAAGCATTGGTAAGATTTAAAAGGAGAATTGTTTCATTACCCTTGTGTCTTAGACTCTCATCTGCTTTGGATTTTTTCATGTAACATGAATGGTGCTGCCTCGATTTTACACTTGTCCTGCATTTGCTATATGTTGATAACAATTGTTAGCAATAATATAGTCAACTTTAGGTTTCAAACTAAATTTTAAGTAAGCTTGTACTCATATAAGAGCTCATTTGCCTAATACATCAAATTTTGTCATAACTTAGTCATCGTTGTGATTTGCTTTGGATAGAATAAATAGGCTCCTTTCGGGAAACACCGAGAAAATGTGTGAGTTCACTTTGCAGAAATATTTACTCCTTTGTGCAGTCTTACATTGCCATAGGACACTAATTTCCTTCTCCTTTTTCACTCTTTGGATGAAAGCAATTAGTCTTGGACTACTCATACATATTTGTACTTTTCTCCATTTGCTTTCTTCATTAAATTCCATTGCTTTATTTCTGCTTAAAGCCCCAATGGACCTGAGGGTTTTTTGTGCTTTTCGCTTTTGATAAACCGCCTCATTTACATGTAAATGTAGTTGCTGGTTATCTTCAGTCCAATTATTCTTTCTGAACACTTCTTCCAAATACAGCCGCTTAGTTAATAGAGAATTTAATGATATCCTTGTTCTTGTATTTACAGAGAAGGAAGCTACTGACAGAAGGAAATTAGTGAGTAAATGGCATCCTACCACTAAGGGGACCTTACGTCGAAATTACAGGGTACCATCCAAACCTGAAGGAAAGCGCCTTCTCAAGTCCATTGCTTCCTTGCTATCAGATGATGACCACTTCAGAGATGCCACTTCTCACAAGGTAATGAGAGCTTTAAAATTTTCTCATTTGGCGCTTTCCATAACGAGTATTTCTGAATATGAACAATATGTATCTTTGTTCAACATCTCCTAAGAAGTATTTACTGTTTTCTCCAGGGTTGTCAGATTAGGAGGGAAAGTGCTCATGGAGAAAGTGTCTGTTGCAACAACGTGCGAGCATTGTTTGATGAGCTCCCTACGCCACACCTTATTGTCGAGATCACTCCTTTCCCGGCTGGTCCTTTAACAGAAACTGACTATGCAAAGGCTGAAAAACTAGAGAGGGTACTTAGATCAGGTCCTTCTGTCTGATTAAAGAGTGTCATGTTTAACTCCTTTTTGTATGTATTTCTTCTCTTTGTACATAAGCAAGAGATATTTGTGCAATGTTCCTACTCTTCAGAATCAAACTAAATCAAGAAAATATTTACTTATGCTTTATTTTCCAGGCGTATCCTTTCTCCCATTTCTCAACTTCATTGTTACAAAAGATCAAAGAACTTGTGTGAACATGTTTTCTTCCACATGAAACCTTAGATGGTGCTGAGCCTATGTAATCAGTGGTCTAGATTGAAAAAATTGTGGTTGTTGGAAGTGCAAAAGATATGCTTGGCCACCTGAGCTTCAGTCTGAGTGGTAAGAGAACGATGCATGCTATGTGATTTAGACACATGTCACGAGTTTGAATTCCATAACAAACAAAAAAAAATGGTATTTTAGTTGAGAATAATAAGAAGCATGTCCATTGTTCGTTGAATTCGTGCACTAACTAGCCATCAGAATCTTTTTGATTATTAAAAAAAAAGGTACACACAGATTCTCATGAGAAATCCAGCATAGTGAAGATCTTTGAGTACCATTAAAGGAAGTGATGCAATGGATGAGTTGTTCCTTCCTTAATCAAAAGTTTTGAATTCGAATTTTGAGTAAGAAAATATTTTTGGTAGAGAGCACTTGCCCTATATGGCGCAAATACATATTAGCTGGGCTCCAATGCAGATATCGAACACGAGAGTATAGAAAAAACCAAAACAAAAAAAAGATTGTTGACCAGCTTCTTCTGCATTACTTGAAGCCTTACTAAACTCATTATCAGTTTTTATCAAAGTGAAAAGATACTTGTACCATTCAAACGTTGTAGTATTAATTCTAGTACAACTTATACAAGATATGAACTCGTATTAGCAATATGAGAATAAGAGTGTATATAAACACTAAAATGCCCATAAATAGAGGAATCTCTATATCAATCAGTGCATTAGTACTTACTGTGCTAGTGCACCATTCCCTACTCACCCCACATTCCTTCAACAAGTAGGCACCAAGAAAGTATATGCATATCCTAAATACATTACTTTTCCAGTAAAATATATCTATCAGAAAGCATTTTCTGCAATACAAGGAGAATTGAAGGGGTTGGTTACTGTCTCTATGACCCCCAATAAGAAAAATTGCATATTAAGCATTATCACTGATGCATGGACAGCATAGAATTTTACTTAAAGGCTTTAGAGGGGGTGGGATCAACATGAAGGTCTATAGTTTGAATCATTTAACTCCAACAGAGGCCATCAAGTCTTCATATTCAGGATCACTCTCTTGTTTTTCTGCCATTGCTGGATTACCACCAGGATGAGGATGTCGAGGGACAGATGTGGGCGAGAAGGGGTCATATATTTGATGCGCTCCAGAGGCAGGCCTACCATGACGGAAGAAGACATTGTTGGGAGCCTCAAAGTTCTGTGGTCGAAGCATGACATTTGGATTATTTTGCTGAAGAGGCATGGAGTTCACTCTAGGAGGGAAGGAACCTACATGATTTGGAGCTGGCCTAAAGTTCATAGGTTGCATTTGAGGGACAGTAGGTGAAGCTATACCCTGATTTGAAAATGTCGGATGCCTAAATTGAGGGACAGGACCAGCAGGTCCTCGAGCAAAGTCAAGTGACATAGGTGGTCCTGGCTGACTAATCTGATTGCTTAATTGGGGTCTTTGAAATCCTTGAATGACAAGTGGGAGATTTGGATTGTCTATTGCTGGTCGTTGATGAGGGCGCATCATTTGGTTTGAAGGTGAAAGTTCCTGAGATCCAAATTGACTAATTAGCCTGGAAGCTGCTGGATTCTGTGAATGGTGAGGCTGGAATGTAAAATCGCTATTGGGCTGCAGTGGATTTGGAGTTACAAAGGAAGTAGGTCTCATAGAATTAATATTAAGAGAACTTACGGGAACTGGATTAGGTGAGAGATTTGGATTGATTGGTTGTCCACTAGACACAGAGTGGTTCAAGAAATGTGCAGGGGTAGATCCTGAAGATGGACGCAATGGAGGAGGCATATGTGCTGATGGAGATGGTCCAGATGATTGGGGTGCTAAATTATGGCCCTGGAAAACATCTATATGCGGAGCTGCAGAGACACCCATTGGGCGTGAAGCAAGATGATGACTTCCTTGAGGGGAAACTGTGGGGGGAGCCATGGCAATCATGTTGCTTGGACCTTGACCTGTCTGGTTGTTCCATGGCAACTGTGACCATCCAGGGGAGTTTCCAGCTGGGGTCAATGGTCGGTCTGGATATGCTGTAGGAGGGCCAGACTGAGGTAATGAAGACATTACTGGTCTGACAATTTGCGGAAACCCTGTTGGACTCGGTTGGCCCTGAGAAAATTGAGGCAGAGTCATATTGGATTGAGGTGGTGTAGACCCTAAAGATGGTATAGGATGTCTAAGTCCACCAATTTGTCCAAAATGAGAAGAAGGCATATATTGCTGCTGCATTAGTGGTGCCTGTGGGCTAGAGTGAACAAAAGGGTTTCGAGGAACTGAACCAAAGCCATCTTGCATACCATGTGGTGGACCAAAGGGTGAGGATGTATTTGACAAGTTGGTAGGTGACGGTGATACTTGGTGAGTGTTGCTGACCAGGGATGCTGAAGAAATCCCAGAGTTAGCGGGTCCTGGAAATCGAGGTACTGGATTCTGAGATGTCGGTCCAGGAAACCATTGCCCTTGGTATGGCTGAAAATGACTTTGAAGTTGAGCAGGTTGTGCTCCAAAACCTGGTTGAGCTATCCCTTGATTTACTACAGGAGGAGGAGTCGGGACAGGTGTTGCTTCAACGGAAATAGTTTCTCCATCACCTGAGGCTTTTGTGGTTGTGGCCGCAGGAGTCATCTGAGAACCAAATGGAACACTTAACTTTAAGACACACAAAAAAAAAGAGAAACTGAATTGCCGCATTGGTATTCACAGTAACACCAAGTAAAACACCATACTACTGTGTACTTACTGAAGCTGGGGTAACCAGAAGTTCAATTAAAGCAACTGCAGCATCAACCTTTTCATATGTCTCCGCTGATACTTGGACATGCATTTCCTCATAAGCACCAGAGTCATTTTCACCAGAAGTAACTTCTACCTGGGGACAGATTAAAACACACGTCAATTTTCAAGAAATCAAGGTGAACAATAGGTATATGTCGTTGCAGCTCATACAGGAGACTTGACAATCCAGACATGATAATCTAATACTAGGAGCAAGTAGAACATAGATTGCATACAAACTACAGTTTATAGGTGTCTCCAGCCTAGTCTACACAACATACCCAGCGTGATCCCATAAATGGGGCTTGGGGAGGGTGGGGTGTACGCAGACCTTACCCCTACCTTGGAAAGGTATAGAGTCTTTCAGATAAAACCTTCGGATCGAGAAAAGCATTCAAAACAGGTTTGAAAAATACCAAGAGTGCAAAACTATAACCAGAGTATTGATCATCAGCAATTGTACAATTAGATGACACACTGAATATAAATATACACGATGGATTGAATTAGAGACTTTACCTTCTCTTCAGTATCTGCTTTAATACCATAAACCTTTACTTGAGCTCCAGTTTCCTGGTTTTCAGTACAATGAAAAACACTATTTTACTATGCAATCAACTAAAATAAGTAGAACTCCAAGGTCTTGGATGCTAGAAACAATTACCTTTTCCAGTTGCTTATGAGCAGGACCAAAAATCAAACCAATAAAATTGTACCCGGGATGTTCTTTGATCTGCATTGAGAACAAATAGAGATGCCTCATGAGGATCTATCACTTCCCCTTTTGGTGAAAATACGGATAGTCTTACTCCGTGTCAGTAACAGATGGAATAATGTCATGTCTCTTGATTAATATTTAATATGCTTTCAGATTTTTGTGCTTGTATCATACAGCTTGACCTTCTAAAAGGACAACAAAGTCAGTAATAAAATAATGTCATGGCTCTTAATTACTATATCTTCTACGGTTTTAAGTTTGTGTCATATAGCTTGACCTTAAAAAAGTACAAAAAATTGTGCAAATAATAAGGTCAAATAAGAGGTCAGACAGTTTCCATCTGCATGATTTACATTGAAGAACTCGCAGGAGTCACTTAAAGATGAATCAAAAAATGAAATCTTTTATAGGTAGCATTTTAGGAATATGTCACAATTGTTCTACACTATCTGGATACCGATTACAGGCAACAGTTTGAAATACACAAGCACGTGAGATGCTTAGCCAGGTGAATACCCTGTACTAACTTGAGCTAAATTTCCCTGTTAAACAGTAAAACATGGCTTACAACTAAATCGAATCATTAAAACCCTTAAAACATAAACTAAGAAACACCTAGCTCGTGGCAGTCAGAATCAGTATATAATAAAAGACATGACAATGAATAAGTGCACATCTGCCATTTCATATCTAAGCCTGCTCTTTTTTGCTGTGGGAGCGTGGATTGGTGGGAGGAGAAGGACAACTAATAACAATTTTCTCCATAAGTTTCCCATTAATCCATAGTTTGTCTAACTTGCTTTGCAAGGCCAGGCCATCATTCTCATTGATATCAACACATATTCAAGTCTTATAAGAATGTAAATGTAGTTAATAGAGTAGTAATTTTAAGCCGAGGAGAAGTGTAATCCAATACAATACAGATGATCCTTAATCTTGTTCCAGTTGATAAGAATTCTAAAATTTTAAGAATCAACTCACAAAACCCAACGGGAGAACTATTAGAACGAGAAAAAAAGAGAAAGAGCACAAAGTGCCAGAAAACTGGGTTTAACTTACAGGTACTGGAATTTTTGCCTCCTTTGGTACAGGCTTATAACCAGCAGGTGACTTATAACTGGGATTCAGTTTTAGAATCTCCCCTGGACATGAATAAAAACAGATAAGATGTATGGTGTATTTGATAATGGAAGAGTAAAAGTCAGTGGCTCGAGGGATCAATCATAACATACCAATGATTTCCCGTCTTTCAAGTTCCAGTGATCTCACATTCTACATCCACAGAAGACGTCAGCTTTAGAAGCTAACCCAAGAAAATTTTCAACTAAAAATCTTAATGATTTAATTTACCTCATCATTAGGTTGATGATCTGAAGACTCGTGATCTTTAGCAGGAGAGGCTAATAAGGAGTCTTTGCTGCCTTCTCCCTCCAAACTCCTAGAATTCAGTAGTTGTGTTATTTGATCCACACGACTCTGCCCAAAATTTGTAAGGCAGCAATATCACTTAGTGGCACCTGGAGTAGGAAATTAATAAAAGCAATTCACACAGAATTACACTGTCTTTTAGGACCCAATGGACAAAGGGAAATTATTAACGGCCACCGAGCCATACTCCATCAATATAATTGAGGCCATAAATGCGTGGAAAATGTTTTTTCTTAGGGGGAGGGGGGAAGCTGATAGAGTTATGAAGTTCTTCAAGAAACGATTAAACTGAGAAGAACAAGAAAACCATGGATGATTGTCATGTCGCACAAATTTATGTGAATGTAATTACAGTTTATTTCTATGCTGCTCGAACTACCCTAAAATGTTGCCGCACCCATGTCAAGTCCTCCAAAAATGCACTACTTTTGAAGGATCTGCCATGCACCCGTCAACATTTTTGAGGAGTACGAGCAACATACTTTATTTTCAGCTGTTTGATCAATGTAACATAATATGTATACATATTGCATATATACGCATGTAAATGTGCAGTTACGCATAACCGAACATGGTAAAACAAAACTTATTACTGTTTTGGAGTGGCCTTGTCCATGTTGTGGATTTCTAAAAGAAAGGCATGCCCTGTTACGATTCTCTGTATGTATATGAGAAACACATGCATAGATTTAATTTTAAGGATGACAAAACATAAAGCACAAAAAAGGTTGTGTAATCTCAACACGTCCCTACGATGTTGAGTTTGGAACTAATGTCAGATTGTTTTCTTCTGATGAAGAATATAAAGGTCATTTCTTTCTGATGCAAGAAATTATAAAGGAACTTAAAAACAAAAAACAAAAAACTAGAAAATAAAATGTTCTTTTAATAAAGTATTACTTTCAATATATCTCTCAATTTCAAGAAAAAGCTTAAAAAAGAAGAGAAAATGTAAATAGGTATATATTGCAAAGCATTCTAAAGCACCTGATATGCCAATGCTCTTGCTTTTCTGACAGTAGTATCCTGTGTGAGATCAGGACCCCATTTGGTTTTCCTTTGCACCTGTTTAGTGCTATCTTCATTTACAGAATCACTAGCTCCTTTTTTTCCTACTCGAAATACCGGAACCAATGAACCTGCTAACTTGTTTTTTGGTATCACAAATCCAGTTTTATTGGCAAACATAGAGATCTTTGGGCCACTCAATGGTGTTGCAGATGAAGCAGCCGTCTGAATGTGGCTAGATGCCTGCTCAAGTTTTGTGCTCATGTTTACTTTTAAGAACACCCAGTACTCGGTATATTAACACCTGCATCAAGAAATCAATCCAATGTGATTCATAGCCAATTGAAAACAAACAAATGATTCAAGAAAAAAAACATTAAAATCTAAGCAACCTATCGAATATTTTATCCAATTCTGACAGTAAGTAATTAAACCATTAGATAGCTAAATCAACAGAGATTAGTTCAACAGCTCACAGATACAAAACATAGGCAGCTATTTGAAACTCCACCCAATACCACCAAATTAAGCTAGTAAAAGCTACATTATAACTACTACTTGTGCTATTACTCCACGTACAAGGAAAAACATTTTCCCCCTTGTAGCAGATAGATATTACAACATACAAGAGCTCTTTATCCTTTTACAACACAAGGAGCTCTTTACGATTCCGTAGCTAGTAAATCTTTAAGAAAAACCAACTAAAAATGAATGAGGCAGGTCATCAGTACACTTAAGGCCTTAACGAATCTTCCATAAGCTTTACCTAGAGCACATAACTGCCACAATATAGGCAAAGTCAGGAGAATAAGAACCATGAAACAGACCACTAATTAATGGACCAAGTGAAGTGCATCAAGGACGGGAATGGAGAACTATTGCATGTTGTTTCATTTGTTTTGTTTATCTTGCTATTTTGCTGCCAGTTTTTTTCTTTCTATCATGCTTAGATTACATTTGTTTTGAGCCGAGGGTCTACCGTAAATAGTCTCTCTACCCCACAAAGTTGTGGGCTAGGGTAAGGTCTACGTACATTCTACCCTCCCAAGGCCGACTTGTGGGATTAACATTGGGAATATTGTTGTTTTCAGGTCTAAGCCTTGACACCTCTTATAACTTGTATATATATATATTCTTTGTTTATAACTCAAAGACCTAAGTTCAAGCTGAAATACGAATAATGTGCACACCAATTCTCTGCCAATCTTCACAATCTTGTTTCTTCAGATACATTTTTTTAAAACAGAAAAATGCCTTTTGTACAGCTCAGTTCCTGATCAACTTGCGTTGCTATGGATTCAATATACATGAGCTTACAATGATGATGAAGTTTGAATACATAGTATGCACATAACTAATTACAGAATTGAGAATTCTATGACCCCTGATTTTCTACTATAACTGCTATAAAACCCTAACTTCAGAAGATGCTCCTAAACAGACATAAAACTCAAAACAAACATTTAAAACTGTGAACACCCTAATGCCAGTGTTATAGCATGTATGGCCAAGTACTTTTGAAGATTAACTGTTTGTGTTTGGGAAATTAATTTGAAAAGCCCTTTTGTCAATATAAGAACAACAATTTGTGCTTGACCAAGGTACCAAAAGTGCTTCTTCCAGGGAAGAACCATTTTTTTTCAGCTTCTACTACTAGTCACACTTAACTTTTCCCTAAAAGCTTGACCAAACATCTCAAATAAGCACTTCAAAAAAGAAACTTTTGGCTTCCCAGAAGCTTGGCCAAACATGCTATAATCTAGTGTGCATACATAGTTCTTTTTTGTTTTGTTTTCTTTTTCCCCAAAGGTTACATAGCATACAACTCTTCATGAACAGATGGGGATATTAAGATACTGTATCATCCATCAACTAATCCCCATCAAACAGATTGTAATATCACAAACTGAACTTCCCACTTTCCTCAAACATAAATGAAACAAAATCCACAACATTAAAACTTTCATTTACCATACCAAACCCCCAAACCATTTCACACAGAAAGGAAACAACATATTTTGGAATAGCACAAGAACAATAACAACATACCCCGTGTAATCTGGAGAGGGTAGAGTGTAAGAAGACTTTACCCCAACCTCATGGAGATAGAAAGGTTGTTTCCGAAACACCCTCGAACAAGTGCAGCAAATCAAAGTATTTATGAAAAAAGGGAATACGGCAGTGAAGAAAGCACTACAGAGCATTCAGAAAAAAGAAACAAAACAACAGTGAAATAATGTGGTAATAGAAACACAATAGATAACAAATGGTAACAGATATCAGAAGCAAGAAACTACATGTATAACACTAACCCTACGCCAGATACAGTGCTCCCAGACTCCCACCATAACGCAAGTCAAAGCTCAACTACCTACTACTCTTCTACCCTAATCCACTACCTCCATACTCTCTTATCTAAAGTCATGTCCTCAGTAAGTCAAAGCTGAATAGCACAAGAACAAAGGGGAAAAAATTGAATCTTGATTTTACAAAAAAAACAAAAAAGGAAGAAAAATATAGACAACAACAAACCACCAATAACCAAAGAAAACCTTAAATATCAAAAACCCATGTCACATTTTTACTAAGAAAGAGAAATACAAAACCTCAAAAGAATCACTTGAACTGAACTTTTCCACTTTCCACTTTCCTCAAACACATAGGAAGCAAAATCTACAACATCCAAACCTTCATTTTTACAAAATCAAACTACCAAACCATTTCACACAGAAAGAAAACAGCAATTTTTAACAACAGCACAAGAACAAAAAACTGAATCTTGAAACGTATAACAACAAAACCACCCATAACCGCTCATGAAAAACCTTAAATATGACAACCCCATGTCATTTTTTGCACCAAAACGCAGGAAAAAACACATTTTTTACCGAGAGAATCGCTAGAAATGTACTCTGAGGATTTCGGAAGAATCTTGTATGAGAATTGAAGCTTGAATGATTGATGAGTAACGAGCAAAGAACTTTGGGTTTTTTGGGGTTAATGGAAGAGGGTTTATGATTCTATTGGTCCATTTTTTATTTTATTTTTTATAATATGGTGTTCGGATCAGCTTGAGCATATCTCGATTAATTTCATATGATATATGTCATCTTTCACGAGCAACACGTACTAGATTGCTTAAATATGGATAAAGATTTTGTCGGAGTGGTAACTATAGTTTGATTTCGTGGTACTTTTCTATTAGAATCTAAATTTAGTCACGCCACAAAGCAAATATTGAACATGAAATGGAAAATTAAAAATATTAGTCTCGTGACTCTCGTCCAATTTTTCAAATATAATAAATAATTACCTTTATGTGAAATTTTTTTGCTCGAATTTTGATTTAATCGTGACTCAAAGAGAATATCAAACACCACATGAATAACAAATATTATCCAAACATAATTAACAATTCGTATGCTAGGAAAGGTTTTATTGTCCTTCGAAATGGCTTAGTTGGTTTGGAGGATGATGGTATCAATCCTCTCTCAATGACCACTGAGTCGAATTTGTAGCAAAAATCTTATTTAAGTTGGACTTCAATACATATGTCGAATACCATATTAAAAGAAGGAAAAAATGAATATTGTCCGAAGAAATAACAATCCTTTTTTTTTCTGGTAAAAATCAATTGACGTATTAAAAGGATAATGTCAAATTTACATCTATCTATATTTATTTATTTATCAATCCATTAGTTTTTTATCCTATTCGATTTTTCCTTTTAATTTTCTTCCGATAGTTTAACTTATTCAAACATAAATAAAAAATTGTGTGAATACTTTTTCGATAGCATTTATGACACTACAAATGCAAAATTGTTGAATGTGTTGTTTTAAAAGTAAAAAGATCATTATAACCATAAATTATAAGAACATATAGCTCAAAGCATCCCGTGTCGGGAAAAAGAGTCACACACGGTGAAATGTAGACCGTCTGCACTAACAAAAGCATATGTTGTTGATTCCACGACGTTAGCTCGTGACTTAGAAGTTATACGGAGATAATTTTACCTTTGCTCCGTCCGGGGTCCTCTTCATTTCTGAAAAAGTAATGGGAAAAAAAATGTATCTCATCAAATAATTCAGTGTACAAGTATCAAACGTTCACAAAGGGACGGTCCATATGAAGGGCTGGATCCAAAGGAATGTGATATAGATAGTCTGCCCTGATACAAGCATCAGTAACTAATTTCACGGCTAAAACAAGTGACGTATAAGTCATACGGAAACAACTTTATAGTTACAAACTGTTACATATGAAAAGCAAAATTGGTTTTGCTACATTCATGTTAAAGTCTATTGAATCATTCTAGTTCATGTAAAATCAGAACATTATGTCAAAGCGGAGATTTTCAAGGTTTGAATGCGAAGAAAGCAACTGTTCAACCAGTATCCACACCTCTACTCTACTTTTATCGTTAAAACTGGAATAGCTGATGCTGCTGCGAGGTAGCCATCGGATATGATACTTCAAAAAAGGAGGAGATTATGGTGAATCAGACAAAAAGAAGTTCAGCTTTAAGTTACTGGAAAAGTTACCACGCGTCTCAGGTGAAGGGGTAGAAATTAGAGAAGAGCAAACTGCCGAGCAAGATGTAAGCTGCACAGTATGTCCAAATAATGTATCCCCATCTCTTGCTAAGACGAGGAGATGCCATGACATATGAGCCAAACCAGTAGAGAGGAGGGCTGGCAGATAAGAATCGTGTTGAAACCTGTCAAAGTGATCAGAAGAAAGTCAGATATAGGTTTTGCCCAGGGTGTTTATCTAGGTTGACAAACTTCCTAACTTGAGATGAAACTAAAACTTTCAATCAACTAGATTCAGATTCTCATACTCAGAAGGCAGAGTTGATGCACAAAAGGAAAAAGTGGAGAAGGGAGATATCATTTCGTGCCAGAGGACAATGTGAGCACAAAAGTATAAACCATGTCCGTTATCAGCTGAAGAACTCAAGACTCCCCAGAAGAAGTTAAGTCTGTGTTTAGATTACAAGAACTTTTCCCTCTTTCGTTCCCACACAAAATCTTCTAATTTCAAATAATTCAAGATTTTTTGCAGAACTTCATTAGAGTGTGGCAGAGATTTTCTCACCATCTTCTCCACAAGAAAAAAAAGGAAAAATGGAAAAAACTATTTATTACTCGCAAATCTAATCTTTGACTGAGCAAAGGGACTTAAAATAGCTGGAAAGGGGAAAAGTAGGATATGGAGGCAAAATTCCTTGTTGCAATTACCCCTGAGGTAAAAAGGGGGTTAAAAGGGAAGATTGGTTGTATATTTAAGTTAGTTCAACATACGTTTAGTAAAAGGAAAAGGGTTGGGCAAATTGGAAATACTAAAGGGAAAGATTCAGTTCAATAATAGTTATCCCACCATTAAACCAAAAGCTAGGAAAATACACTCCTAGAATCACGTCGGTTTAGAAAAAGGGAAAGAGGTCAGCCAACCTGTACGTGCATGACAAAAAAAGCCGTTGCAACCATGAACACAAGGTGTAGAATGAAGGGAACAAGAATAATTGGTTTGAATCCTGGATTCTCTGATGCTTCATCTTCTGATGGCTGTACCACATAGTTCTCTTCTCTCACAGCTAGTTTTCGCCGTCTAAGAGAGTCACCTATCAAAAGTGAAGTAAACAATGAGCATTGTCTTCACATTACAAAATTTGAAATTGAGTCCTTATAAGAATGTGATGAAACATATAACCACTCATTTTTATGAGTTGGAAAGAAATAAAATCATATTAATTCACAGATAACAATGTACATCTCATCACAAAGTGCAGCAACATGAACAAGGAGATCACCAGAGCAAGGATTAGAAGTTTAAATGGAATGCAAACATTGAAAGGAAATGCGGGACAAGGAAAACTATAAGTGTGGGCAAGTGTATCTGAATTCAATGCATAACCTCACAACATTCAAAATGCTCAATCATAAGCAGAGTACCATCTTTGTTATACCAGCAAGTAAAATTTAGCAGTGGCCATATACTAGACCAGAAAATTGATGGTCCGTCGTTAGTTGTAATCAGAAAAAACAGAAACTTCCTCTCGTACATGATAAAAGCATACTTCTTATGGAAATGATTTAGTATCAAGCTATACCTTGCCCGGCATCAGATCTGTTTTCTGATGGAAAGCCAACACTCTTGGATCCTGCACTTCTCCCCAGAGGCATGGATGAAGCAGCACTTTCTTTATTTGGAGAGGATTCCCGAAAACCAAGTGAGACAAAAACCTCAGGCCATAGCTTCACATAATGTATGATTGTGCAGAGTGCAAGAGATAATATTGGAGATGCAAGAACAAAGTTTGGAATTTGTTTTACTTGAAAATACTTTAAGAAACCCACTCCCCTGAGAAAGAAGAAACAGCAAAGTCAGCCTCTGCTCTTGGCGGCAATCAACATTGAGTTTAGCTGAGGATACTGGCGTTTTACTTTTTCTACTCACTCTTTTCTTTTTATCCTTTATTTTTTTGGTGTCTAAGCTAAAATAATGCATGAGAATGATATCTATCAATAAGGACTACCTTGGGTATCACAAATCAGTTAAAGAACCAATGAGCGTTTACATGAACCTATTTCCTGTGACTACTGTCTGGCATCACCTTTCCTCACCAAAGAAATTAAACACAGCTACACAGGGTGAGTAACCGGTGGTCACTTGGCCTGACCAATCACCAATGAGAAATTTTCCTTTCTAGATAAATGTTCATTGAGGTCGTAGGGGCCCACCAGAGCCCCACCCAAGTGGCATCTCATTTCAAATAGATTGCAAAAAGTTAAAATTCAACCATACCTTAAAGAATTTTTCTGAACAAAAATTAACAGAAAAAGAAAACATTAAACAAAGAATATGATATAAATGGCTAAAAGTGGGAGATTGGAATGTGAGGGGAAGATCAAGATAGCTTTTAAGCCATTGTCTTTATAAATTATTAACAGAGAATATAGAGGCAACTATGGGTCTAAACCTTGAGTAGTTATTCTAGGGTATTATGACTTTCTAGAAGTACAAGAAATAAAAAATTGTTGTGGTATTAATCTTAAAATGAAAACAATCATACACCCAAAGTTTCAGCATAATAAGATCAAATGTAATTTAATATCTACCAGATCAAATTTAATGTGGAAGAGGCAAGTGAGAGTTTGAAAAGGTAGAAAAGGTACCAACATACCAATAACGACTTTGAATATAGTTGTAGAGTAAAGGAAGTCTTGCCTTGCACCAAGGTCTCATTTCATCTGAAGTGCCTCCCACACACATATTGTAGTAACCATAGGCTTGAAAAGCAATAAATGGGGAAATGATAAATAAGCTACGCAAAGCCCCAGAAAGAAGAACTAGCAAGGTCCCCTGGCAACATGTGGAAGATTTTGTCTGAGTAATCTTAAACAACCAAAACATCACTTTCTCTAGAGCTCTATGCTATATTTGTCGAATTCCGAGAACAATTGATGCTCAAACAAATGATAGTTCATAATAATGAAAACTACGAAGTAAACATAACGCAAGCCATTGAGACCTAACGTACTCCCTTATCCCCAATCTACATCTTTATTCTATATTGGAACGTCCCAAAGAGTTGACAAACTCTTTTCAATAAATTAGTTTACACTACTCTCACAGAATTCTGCAATTTATGTTCTTTTAACTATCAAATATAAAATGCTAAAACAGTCAAACTGACAACTTATACATCCATCTCCAGTCAAATAGTGCAACATAATATGGCAAGGAGGGCGTTCTGTAAGGAGCATGAAACTCCAAAACAACTTTGCTCAACCACCCTTAAGTTTACAAATATGGGATTTAACAAGAGTATTGGTGATCAGTTATTTCAGATCAAAAGAAGAAAACTGA